CAGCATGAAAGATGCAGAACTATAATTCGCCGGATGAATCCCCCACTAGCAGTAAACAAATATGTAAAAATGGAGAGTGACATCATATGCTGTTTTGAGAAAGGTTTTCGGAAAAATTACAAAAGTGCACGCCACAATCTCTGGGTATCCAGTAATCGATAAATTTTAACAATTGAAATTAATAGGTAAATTGGTCAAACCTGCGATGACTCGTACTTACAGTGAAGTTTTCTCAGCTTTTCCTGAAATCCCGAGGTCAAGAAACCGAGACCCTAAAACTATCCACAATAACTCTGGGGGTTGTAGCGTGCACTTTCACGCTTTCCGACAACTTTCCGAAGCCTCTTCTTCAAGAGTTGTTCAGAAATCATCCTTAAAATCGCTCTTCGTTTTTTCCCCTATCTTAGCTTTGGTTTTTCATTAAATTGAGCATGCAGTAAGTCCAGTTTCCTATCAGCAAGATAGATTTAAAAGTAACGAGGTCCAAAAGTTAAGCAACAGCAAGAAAGGAAATAAACCGTCTGTAACAATGCTATATCAACGAAATATTTTGGAATAGTTCCTACAATGACAGCATACAATGAATATTTTGGTACTGTTTTATGTTTGTCATGAAACTCTTTGAACTACCAGTAAAACAAAACATTAACGAACTTACGTTTATCGTCGTTCTTTTACATCACACTGTGCATTCCTCATTCCAGCTTTCCAATCCTCTTTTTCAACCACAGTCTTCGGTTCCTTCTGCAAATCAAATGAATTAATTGATTAAGTGACATATCTCACGCCATTGAACGAGAGTCTGCTTGAATAGCCTCTGAGGAAAGGACTTTTAGAAGAGATGCAGAGTGATTGACTGTTTGACTTTGTCTCCCACGAAGGCATTTATTGGTAGATTTTATGCATTGGTCTGTTAATTTTATAACCCAACTCCCTTTTTCTTCCAAATTTTTTGCTCAAGGAAAGCAGTTTACATGGTGGGAGCAAGGGCTCGCTCATGTTCTCGCTTTTCACAAGTACGTGACGTAGTTTCAATGTTTTCATTGTAGATTACTCACTCCATCCGTCCATCACTCGTTTCGCTTCAACATATATACTTGATCGCGAAAACGTGGACAGCTAAAAAGCATGATTGATGAACGATGAGACTAAATGGCTTTCAATTTACATATTCGGTGTACCTTTGACTATTCATTATTAGTGGCAAATCTTTGTTTACGATGATTATTTTCTTTAAGAAAAGTGCAAGTGGCTCATATCATCTACTGCGACTGATTATGCAATTGTTGTGGTTACTATGTACATGTGTACCCACAAAGCCATTGAGTCCAATCGTTTACTACTTACCCCTTTCGGTTGTCAATGGTCTCGCAATGGAGTGTATATTGAAATCCAATTTTGACTTTAACTCTCACCAACAGGTTCGTAGTCCATTTGACTCCTGTTCTTCCATCATCAAGTTATCGCCGTCCTAAAGACATGAACCACAAAAACAAATATATAATTATTTAGAGGAGGAAACGAGACACCACATTCATTCGTCGTTTTCTGTTACATCTTTGTATACATGTTTTAAGCTGTATTGCACGTTGAAACCAAGAGCATCGAAGCTCTAACCATAAATCTATGAAAAAAAAGACTCAAGTAGTGAAGATACTTACCTGTAAGGAAACTTAAAGAAGCCCAGAGCGCAAAGACGCAGGGTATATGTGTCGCTAAGCTGTAAACGAGAGGAAAAACACAATTTAAGACGGGATAAAATTTTAATGAAGAAGTTTTCTGTCGTTTCAATAGATTTGATAGAATTAACATCTGAGATGAAGTTATAAGGAAAGTCGAAGTACTTGAATTACGGCAACAGCTAAAGTAAATAACCTATGAAAATTCTGCAAACAATTCATTAGAGAGGCGTTTCGAGACTAGACCTTCGCAGAAGAGAACTCTGAAAACGAATTTCTCTCTCACCACGTGTAACGTTACTGGTATTCTGCAAAAGCACACAATCAAATATCTCCATATTCTCCATATTTGGGCTGCTGAACCTGGGATAAGGAAATAGTCGTCTTAAAAATACTCTTAGAAGTAGGTACAAGCGCAGAAAACAGCAGAATACGTCAATTTTCTGCTTGAAAAGCAAAACGCTGGAACTCCTTCAACCACATGTCACATTGACCCAAGGTGTGAGACAAACATGAATGAATAATTAATTTTAGAAACAATCAAAGTTTTATCGTGCACAAACTAATCACAACAAGTAATTATTCATTAACATGCGAAAACTGTTTGTAGTTGCCTACCGGACTACCCCTTAAAAGGGGTGGGGGGGGGGGGGGGGGGGGGGAGGAGTAAGGAGGGCTAGAGGGTAAAGGGTTATGGTTCGAGTTCATTTTCGTGCAGAAACATTTAAGACTTTACAAAACTTTTTACAAAACCATTATTTTCAGTTTCAGTGCTCCAAACTGCGGTCGTTTCGGTTTACCAATTCGATGGTAATATACTTAAGTTTAACTCTAAATTCATTATTCTTAATTTAGCGAGTTGTACGGGTTCAATGGTAGAGGTTGAAATTGGTGGGCATAGTTGTGAAATCTTTCACACGTTCCAAGATTACCATTTATCATATTTCATTACCTAATTAATAATTTATGCAGTCCTGAACTATTTCATCCAGCAAAAGTGAACGCTTCAAGCTCTGTGAGAGGGGCAAAGGCTTTATACGTGACGCGTGATTGAGGTCAAAATTACAAACTATTGTCACAAAATTTCTCAGATTTCTCGTAGTTCATTCTCATCATCTCTTGGTAGCTAGGCTTCAGTTTCTTCAACTTCTTGACTAAAATTAAAATTTTTAACCTTATTAATTAAACAGCGCGTAAGATAGTAAAGTATCATTCGACCAAAAAATAAAGCCAACAATGGGCAAGATACTAACTATTCGTAAAAGGAGAATCCTTACAATGCACGAAATACTAACGTAATAAAAACATCAAAGCAGAATCCTCAAAGTGTGCCAGATACTAACGTAATAATCGATAAAAAGAAAATCTTTGCAGTGTGCAAGATAATAACGTAGCAATCCATAAAAAGAGAATTCTTAGAGTGCGCCACACACTTACGTTACAATCGATCAAATGGCGAAGAAAACGGAAAAATGAATTTCATTTGAGAGCGGGAGGGAAAACTTTTGAACTTGCTATTATGATCCACCGATGACTGAATCATTGTGCCGATAAAAACGCGACATATTGAAACTGCTTGCTTAGATAGCCATAGGCTGAAATAATTTAAAGATAAGTTTAAATGACTGAAGGAAGTCACATAATTAATATGAAATCGAAAATTAATCTCCTTTGGTCAAGCCCTCTGGATCCCTTTTTAGAAAGACCACAAAGCAAAGAACACTATCGTCACAAGTTCCTGCGTGCTCAAAGGGAATTAGCCTCGCAAACCCCGAGCCTTTAGTCACTTTCGTGAACAAACAGGATGAATTTTCTGTGCTTTTTCCGATCACGTCCTAACATTTTTGTCGGCTAAGTGGGCTCTTAGGGAGGGGGGTGTGACGGGTGCATACAAACCTCTACCCCCTACTGGCCGCTAAAATACGTTTACTAGATACAGGCGATTCAAAAGAAAGCAAGTTATTAAAAAAAAAAGGTAAAAGCAAAGTAACTGCAATTCTCGCATCCTGATTCGTTTACTTTGAACATTTTGAAATGAATCGTAACTAAATGAAGTGTTTTCATTTTAAAACACTTGATACGAAATGAAGTCTCAGACAACCCACCCCCTCCCCCACCCCCCTCATAAACCTGTCTAAGTGCCTGCTTAAAAATACAACCAGTACACGCTGGATTTAGTTTTTTTTTTTCATTTTTTAGCGCCAACCGGCACCTAATCAACGTGCTTCCTGAAGCGGAGCTCAAGTTTCATTGAATAATTTCACGTTCGTAAGTCAAGGTTTGAAGGCACTGTAAACAGGGTCGCCGGTGGACCATATATTTTAGCAAAAACAAATGACATCCTGGTAAACTTGAAAGATAGGATTCACTCTTTTTTATTATTACAAAGAAAATGGGACAGTGCTGGATGTCACATAACGACTTTTTTTTTTATTAGGGTTTAAGTATCAACGGCACGTATCCGTGTGGGTAGTACTAATACCTCCCTTTAAAAAATCATCGTCTTTCACTAAATGATGACCTAGAATTATCTTTCGGGTTTTTTTTCCTTTCAGATTGTTCCACACACAATAACGATTAATTAAGAATGCACAATAAAAAATTGTCGCGGTGCTACTTTAGGAGATGAAATTCAGTCAATTTAGACATTAGTCCTTGCAACTAAATCTTTCAAAGGCAAATTTACTCCAACGGTTCACGTTTACTAAGCTGAAACGTCCTAAACAGGTCTTGACAGAAAGTATTATTCCTACGGTAAGGGATCACGTGAACGCAGTACTGTTTTTATCAGCAGTTCCTGTGAATTCTATCCTTTCCATTAAGAGCTTTACTGAGCCCAACTTGGCTAGAAGGCCGGATGCTACGGCACATTATTAGTCTTTGTCACTTATTTTGGCTTTATACCAAAATTTTAGTCACAATTGGTGGATTCTGTTCCGTTTTAGCGTTATCATTACAAGTTCCTGCTTGCCTGTTGGGATTTAGTTTCATTAACTCCGCGCCTTTTACAACAGTCCTGAACAAACAGGATTAAATTTATCTACGAATGTCCCTCATCATACCCTCATTTTTTTGTATACAGGAAAAACAGAGTCTATCTTTCGTTATTCTATGCAACAGTGTCTCCAAAGAGGACATTTTCCACACATGCTGTTTCTTTAAGGATTTTTTGTTCCTATCCAAAGATATCCTATTACATTTGACGAGCACGTGCGCGTGTGTGTTAGAATTTCTTTCTTGTGTGGGTGATAATCCTATTGTAAGGTTATTATTATCCACTGAGCAATATCCTGAAAATGACAGACTTTGTCGCTAATAAGAGTTCAGGACCTTTAGGCTAATTTAAATTACAACACGTTCGAAAGTCAAGATCACTTGCTTTGCACAAAGGTGTTGTTGAAAGGCAACTTAAAAAACAAAAGCCGGAGGGGAAACCTTTTTGAGGGTAGGTCTAAAATAATTTGGTTCTAATTTTCAGGTTACACGGCAGTTGTTTAACCACAACCACAAAAGGGTGGCTTTTGTTTCATTACCCGCATCGATCAAAAATGACGACCATGTTTCAATCTTATTGTTAAATCACTTAACTGAACCCTTGCCTCGGATGCGCCCTTATCTTCTTCTCTAACCTGGCACAGCTTGGTTCTTTGGCTGAGCCAGCTGGAACTAATAGTAAACGAATGGTTGACTGGGAGCTTTCCATAAATCATTTGTGGCCGCGACGCTACTGTAACTTTTGGGTTGAAAAACGAATAAAGCGAAACAAAATACTGCAGTCCTAAAAAGAAATTACGTAACTTAAGGACCTTCCATTGCAACTGTTTGTAGATATGACTATACCAGAGGCATCAAATCCACTCATATGTCCGCATATGTTCACTTTACGGAACTGAATAGTGGAATTCCCGGTATTGTTCGTCTTCGCTCCTCGATCACCGAGAAAACTTTGTTTATAGTTACATTATCTTCATGTCCCTCTAAGAAAAGAATTAAAACTAACTAGGCTTGTCAAGGCTTGGCGCGACAAAGATTGGTAAATCCGACTTTGCTTAACAACCTTTCAGACAATAACTCTAGTTTTTTGTGCCTGAATGATTATCAATATTGGCACCAGTTGTTCCTGTCGAAATTTGATATCAGAAACTTAAGCGCTGTGTCACAGGATAATTTTTGATTCAGTGATTTAGTTTACATGGTTGGGCAGAAATTGTCTTTGTACTTCTTGTCTGTGATAAAGATATACAAATCTGAAGTATAACCCCTCAAATTCATTGGTGGATACATTTGTACTTAATCGATGAAGACGTTGATCCCACGCAAATGAAGACGTTTCTTCAACAATAATAACTAAATTTCACATTTTAAACGAAGCCATATCAGCTTATTTTACAGAGTGGATCATACACGAGCAGGAGGTCCTGACCTCGTTTTATGGGTAAAACTACCTTCCTAGGATTTCAGGAATCACGGAATTAAAAGAAAAAAAAGCCTCTTAAAAGAGGAATCTTAATTGCCCAGTCTGAGCGCTTATTTTCATGGAATCATTCGCGTTTTGCAAGCTGTTGGATTACGTTATTACAAGTCTAGCAAGGCAGTTTGATTCTCTCAACTGGTTTATGTTCTTTTTCTGGTGAAAATCGCGACTGTGAAAGCATTAGCCAATGCAGTGACATTTTCAGATGGGAGTGCGTTACCCTCCTGATTCCTGATTTAGGTTTGACTAATTTTATTTTCGATAATAACGACCTTAAAGCCCCAAATTCTCGTTCCAATAGGACCCCGAAATAATTGGCGCAAAATTCACTTTGCGAGTAAAGTTTTCTAAAGATCTCACGGGTCACGAATAAAAATGTGAAAAGCCTCTTTCTTATTCGTCGAGTCTTCATTCATCGAAAAGGAATTGGCTGTAAGAAGGCAGGTCAAAACGACGGTCTCAAAAGATAGGACCGTCTGAATAAAATAAGATCGTCGCTGAGAAAGATAAGATCGTCCACCGAGTGGGGAGTGGCAAAAATGGGGGGTGGGGGGGGGGGGGGGGGGTTATATATCGATCTCTGCCTTTCTCTTACAAATGTCTAGAGATGTTGCTTGTACAGGAAATGAACTCTCAGCGCTCTCACTTATAGCAGGAAAACACTAGCGGTTCATGATATTTTGCCCATGAATCGTGCTATTTTTCCATCTTTCCAAGATATAAATGTTAAATTGCGGTCTCTATTTTAGAGAAAAGTCTATTTTTCATCTCCTTCTTCCTAATTGTCTTTGTCAACTTGATTATTGCATCGTTAAAGTAGGTAGGTTCCTCAGCTTCTGTTTTTTTTTTCAACAGATGACGGCAAACCCCACGTCATTGTTTTTGGTTCTGTTTCTCTGCTTTGGCTGTGAGTATGATACTTTCCCTTAACTTTATTACCACTATAAAACTTGCACTTTTAAAGGGAATCTTTAATTCTTTTTTTAATTCAGGCGAAAATCGCCGAGTGTGTCCGGTGCGGTGATTGCGATTTTCGCCGGTCGCCGCGACTCGGCGTACAAAATGTGACTTAACGTAGAAACCTTCTTTCCCTCAAAGCAGAGGGTATTAGTGCAAATTTTAATTTTCAGCGCCGGGCTTACGGATGAATGTCTTAAAACCAAATTACTTTGATTCAAACAGCAAATCAGAAGTGGAATTCGCCATTTGTTTTGCTTTAGCACATGATTGGTTGAACAGGTGGTGAAAGTCTTTATTTGAGACCAGTCAAAGAGCGAAGGAAACAAATTGTAAAGCAAATTCACTGCTGGATTACCTTCGACGCGCAACTGAAAATTGCAGTCACTAGATCGAGAGGAAGCCGAAAAATCTAAACTTGACGTTTAGTCTTAAGCTATATCTTTCCTTTTGCCTATACATTAAAAATTAAAAAGGGA